GATCCATTCTATCTATCTCCTTGCGTGTTCCTCCATATATGGCACCTAATATCGCTACGATTATTACGTTCTTTCTTCGCGTCGATCCGCCCCCAAGTCATAAAATCACAAAGAACGAGAGTTTTGTTCCCCGAAAAATTGCTCGAAAGAAGAAAAATACATGACAATTTTCCTTTTCGAAAAAACGCCGTCGACATCCAACATCGAAGACCCCCGGTGGTGATGGAAAATTTCTTTGTATCTATGAAATTTGACATACCCTTAATATACCTCTCTGATTCGATCGTGCTTTTGAGAAACACTGATCCAGCGATCATGATTTTAAACAGCGTGACGTTAAACTTTTAATATTGCACAACATCGATAACACTTCAATTTTTTTTTTTTTTTGTCAGGAAAATGTTTTCATACATCTCACAATGAATTATACGATAGATAAAATTATATCAATGTATCTCTTCTTCTCTTGCTTCTTTAAACTCCTCAAACTTTCTCTCTTTCTTTCGCTCTCTCTTTCTCTCGCTCGTTCGCTCTCTCTTTCTCTCTCTCTCTCTCTTCTGTTTCGTATTCGCAATGACTGAACGCTGATGACGGTAGCAGCAGTAAATCGGTTTATCAATCGAATATCCCGGTTGATAACTTGCAACGATTTTCATTTTCGCGGCAAATCAATCCTAAGTTTTTCATTCTTGACAATTTTTAAACGGCGCCAAGAACAACGTTCCAATTTAATAAATATATATGTTTTTTGTATCTTTAATAATAAAGAAAATATATTATTATAGTTTGTACGTTACTTGAGATCATAATTGATGGGATTAACCGATGGGAATGCCTAACATTTAAATATCAACGTTACCCATAAGAAGTTCCTCCTCATCTCTCATCCCTTCTCGTGTGTGATCAGCGAGAGTGAGAAGTTAAAGATAGGCTCGGAAAGAGATTAAAAAAGATAATATAACTTTTTTTATTTCCTTGAGTATTTTACTAATTTCGCTTCGTAAAGTAAAATATTACGAGCGAGAAGTTTATTTAGTTATAGAGAAGCAGAAATAGAAAAGGCCTTCCTAATTTCTGAACAATTAATACGACATCGATAATTGTAAATAATATTAATTGTTATTTAATGATATTGATTTTATTATAATTTCGTAATAATTTCTTAACATGGATATAGACCTACTGTGTGTATTAATTATAAATTTATGATCGTAAAACCCATTCATATTGCAACGTTGTTCTAAGGGTACCGCGTTTAATTCATAAAATACCAACTATACGAAACTGTCATTGGAACGGTTCAAAATGTAAGGTAAGGCCAAGAACGTTTTCCATTCATGTAAATATTTTACCGTAATAGTAAATGGAAAAATATGCGAGTATCAATAATAATAATGCCATCGTCGTAGTCATCACCGTTGTCGCCGTCATCGACAACATATATATATATATATTTTATATAATAAGTAAGTTATATACTCTAACATTATTATAATATTATGCTTAGCAAATATTTTGTTTGAAGATTTACCTAAAATCCACGTGGCAACAAATAACCAATTTCCTTAATTACTTTCATTGTTCTGGCGGTTGAACTCTCGTACAAAGTCCAAGATAGAAACGAAAAATCTCTAACCGCAAAGACAATTAATAAGTACTTTTGGATTTCTAAGATAAAGATTTTTATTTCCTCTCGAAGATTTCATGTTTTCAATTTATCCTTACTATTCATTCAATAAGAATTGATAAGAATTCGATCAAAGAAAAACAAAACAAAAAAAAAAAAAAAAAAAAAAAAA